GATATCACATCATTATATTATATATTATTATATATATTATTTATTATTCATATCTTATATTATAACTTATATGGAGAGTGAAAGTGGAAGTATATAATCGATAGAAATTTATCTAATTTGTAACATTTATCACTACAACATTACAAGATTTTTTTGATTAGGAAACTGCGGTTTATGAAAATGATAATAAACATTTTTGTAGATTGCATTTGTTAGGTTTACGGTGCTCTGTAACAGTGTTTCCCAAAGTTATTCAATCAGTGTAATTTTACGATTTAATTGCAAATCATTTAAATTGTTTTTATGCATGTGTATTTGATCATAAGCTAAAACCGTCTGTTATAAAGTCATTACACATATACGATCGTTTCATTTTATAAAGTTGACTGGAATGCCAGTATTTGCTATTAAAACGCAACCGGATGTTGTAGAGAATGTATAATAAAAAATGTAAAAGGTGATCCGCTAAGGGAAATCGGAATGCCGAGGAATTTGACCATCCGGTCGTAAACATTTCAAGCAGTCTTGCAGAAGGAAGTATGGCATTCTTCCTTATTTGCTACTCAAGTGCTCAGGTATTTGTTACCGAGTTACTTAATTTGTATTTTTTCGTATAATACATTGGAAATTGTTGAATAATTATTGGGTCACGAATTTGAATTGGAATATTCGAGTTTGAATCTTTGAATCTCTGAACATTTAAATTTGAATATTATTGAATTCGAACTTTCGAATTAAAATTAAAAAATTTGAACACTCGAATTTAAATATTGAAGTTGTACTTTCGAGAATGGAAATGGAACTTAAATATTGAACTTGTACATTGAATTTAATTATCGAACTATAATATTGAACTTTACTGTCAATATCAAACTTCAATATTGAATTTTAATATTGAATTTGAATTTTCGAATTTGAATTATTAAATATCATTTTTCGCATATTTGAAATTGATTATCCGTGTTTTAATACTTAAAAACGTATAACACTTAATTAAGGGTAGACGATTTGACAAAGCATTTCAATTGAATCCATATTCAAGTTTTTTTTATATAGAACAAAGAAATCGTTTTTCGAGTCGACCAACGTAACGACACATTATGTTTGTAAGAGCAACATAGTTTCAAAGAAGAAAGTACCGAAGGAAAGTATGAAAGAAGAAACAGGTCATCGAAGCCATGCCAAGTGCACTTGCATACATGCATAAGCTGCTTGACCTTATATGTGTGTCTGACCACATACTCTCGTTGACATAATGATAGGCGTCGAATCGCCTGGAACCCTGACATCAGAAATGACGTAAATAACACTATAATAAGCAGGATACACAGTTGAACGAAAACAAGCACACGTAATTTCAGAAGACGTTTCCTCGTACATCATTTCCTAAAAATAAGTCACAACGCGATTGCTGTAGTACAATTTCAATCATAACATTAAAAAGAAAAATGTTCGTATTTTACGTTACTTTTATAGGATAAATTTGAGGGCTAGCAAAATCCTGCTTTTGTTAGCAATATCTTTGTTCATATATTTATCCATTTACATAAAATTAATTAATCTAAAGTTTTATTTTAATAAATAATCACCTCCACTAATTATTTATAACAAAATATTTCTGAATTTTTATATTATTTAGTAAACGTTTCTTCCAAGCAAATTATTATAAATTACGTTTATGAAATATTTATGTAGTATGTGATTCACATTATGTAGTATGTGATTTTATCCATCCACATAAAATTAATTAATCTAAAGTTTTATTTTAATAAATAATCACCTCTACTAATCATTTATAAAAAAAATTTCTGAATTTTTATATTATTTAATAAACGTTTCTTGCAAGCAAATTATTATAAATTACGTTTATGAAATATTTATGTAGTACGTGATTCATAAGAAAAATAAAATATACATATAGAATTATATTATCATATAATAAATATTAACATATTAAATTATTATACATTATAAAATAAATAATTATTATATCTAATTGTAATTTATTCAGGAAACAACAATAATAGTTATTCAGCGGATTTTATGTATTTATGACAAAAATTAGAATCGAAAAACAAAACAGTGAGAAGTTTGAAAGGCGTAACATGTACGGTTATATTACTTTCGAATTATTGAAACTAGGTTTATGCGTTTCCGACGCGTCCCAAATGTTTTAATATATGATTATTGAAATTGTGAAATTCTTTTTAGGTTGATCTTACTCAACATCTTCATTTCATTTGACACCTAATAAAGTTATTCTTATGAAGCAACACACACAAACGCTGCTTTTGGTGCTCCGTAAACCTAGTGGTAAAACTATTAAGAGAAAAACTCATGTTTACATAAACTCTGCTTATCATAATTGATCCAGATAATTTGTATTTTACATATCGATTAATTTAATAATCAATTAGGATGAGTATACTTCAGTTTGCGTCTAATTGCAACCCTTCGTGTGTTTCAGCTACATTGGAGAAATGGGAAACGCTAACAGCTAAGGTCGAAGAATCACAAATGGCTCGAAAATTGCACCACGAATTAACTGCTTTACGTGCGGAATTCAAAGCGGCCCACGACAAACTCTTCTCGTACGAAATTGTTTTGGAGCAGCCCCACGTAGTGGATGAGCAGATTAACAGAATTACGGTAAGAATATCATATTTCTACGGCTGCATATAGGAAACTTTCAAATCGATACTTTCAGCGGTATGTTTCATAATAGGCTGACATACTTGCGAAAAATGCAAAGATGACCCATCAATTTATACGAATTTTCTTGTTAGAAGCTGACCGATGTTTCCACGTTTCCTGCCTCAAATGATTTTGTTGAATCGATTTTGATCTCTTGTTGCTGGGATTTTGGCTATCGTTGGTATAATTTTTACAATTTTTATACAGGGTTCTTTTAATACAGGCAAATGTTGGCCATATATTTTGTAGGAATAATTTAAAAATGATGTGATGCAAAGTTGGCAATTTTCCAATAGTTCTTTTAAAATTGAAGAACAATAGTTACACAATCCAGCAAATTGTATAGATTAATGTAATCTGATAAGTTTATTTGAAGTTATTATTTATGCAAAAATTACCAAGCTTTACTTAACACGTTCCGTGCCGAGCTTTTTTTACTCGAATCTTCACACTTTGATATTTTACTAAAACTTGATGTATTACGTGCAATTATTAATTCTCGTACACATAACAACGTAACAAAAACTTATCAACGCCCATTCTTGCGGTGGAAATTGATTCTTCGGTTCTAAATTTCTTGTAAACAATTTGTTCAGTTCACTAAGTAAACATGCAAGCGTGTACCATCGATGGTACACGCTCTGTCTCTTATACACATCTAGATGTGTATAAGAGACAGAGCGTGTACCATCGATGGTACACGCTCTGTCTCTTATACACATCTAGATGTGTATAAGAGACAGAGCGTGTACCATCGATGGTACACGCTCTGTCTCTTATACACATCTAGATGTGTATAAGAGACAGAGCGTGTACCATCGATGGTACACGCTCTGTCTCTTATACACATCTAGATGTGTATAAGAGACAGAGCGTGTACCATCGATGGTACACGTGGCACGGAACGTGTTAAACAAAGTGTTAAAATTAAGTTTGCTACACTGATTCAAATGAAATGAGAAATATGGATATATAAACAGAGTGTTTATACAAATTTTCATTCGTATGGGTTTAGATATGTCAGACCTTTCTGGTATCTTTTATTCCCAGACATTCGAAATGGCGCGATTTTACTAATCTTCTAAAAATTTCAATTAGTAAGCTATAAAAGATTGTAATCATGTTGTTTCGCTTTAAATGCCGAAAAGGCAAGCAAACAATTTTACACAATTTTAATAAAATATAAATGAACCAACTTAACTCGTGGAATTAGAAAGAAGTCAATAAAAAATGACAAACTGAAAAGGGAGTACATAATTAATTGTTTCAATCAAAAAGGGTGCAAGTTACAGTAACTTGCTGTCGGTACAAAATCCTGGACAACCTGTTTTACCGTTCGCAGTCAAGCTCTATTAAAAATCGCCTAAGTACGGATAGAATTTTTATAACTAAATCATGCTAGAGTAAGATTAGACAGATGCTTATATTTGAAGATCAATATTCCAAATTGTAACAGATTATGTCAAAGACAGTTTTAATAATGCACGATGAATTGCTTTGAATGATGAGTTCGCATCGAGGATAAGAGTAGTGGTTGTCGGTAACGTGCACCTGAGTCGGTAAACGAATTCTTCTCCGTTGGTAGTGTTCCTCATAGGGTAATAGCATGTTGGCAGACAGTGAAGAGTATTCCTCTATCGAATCCTGTGAAGCACATAGATCGCGCTAATGTATCCGTTTCCTACTTGAAAAAACAAAACGTAATAGCAAAATTAATTATGGAAGTGTTCAATTTTGGCAATAAATAATTCTTTCGTATGTGTGATAGCATTATTTATTAGTCACAACTTTTTAAAATTCAATTTTTTTTTACAAATTTTATAAAATTACGAAGTAGAAGTATCATAATATATTTAAATTAATCATAGATCACCATACGATGTTTAATTCATTTATTTTTGAAGCTAAGTATTCGACGATAGCCTTGTTAAATCGGTTCGTCAAAATTAAAACTTGTTAATATTTATTACTTGTTAACTTTGAATATTCGACGGTTTTGTTTAATATATTGCTATAAAAATGAATTACAACTAGAAGTAAAATTGGTTCTAGAAGACATTAATATTTTAGAAGTTTATGCAAAATACTTTCTCAAGATTGTTTCTTTTAATCATTCTAATGAACTGAAAATAGTGTAACTATACATACTTTTGTCATAAGTGCATAAAATTAGCAGTTATAAATCAGTGATGATTTAGTGATAACATAGTGATATGTTATCGAGTAAATGCCAAACGTTCTCTAGCGAATTAATAGCGCATTCAGGCACGAATTGAGACACCCTTTCGAAAATAAATAATTTCAATATAGTAATATAACACCTTATTCTACATATTACAAGAGTTTCTCCTATTTATGATATTGACTGTTACGGAAAGTCGAATTCTTCTCTCCTTCTGAGCGAATACGAGGCTAGAATATAAAGAATGTTTGCATTGCTATTGGTTGAAGTACGTTGGCGTTAATGGTAAAGTGTAGGAATGACTGTGGTAGAAGAAGATGGAGGACTTACCAGAAATTATCTGCGCGATGTTCACACACGGACCGTAAGGACAGTGCCTAATTACGGTAGGGTGGTACCTAAGACCTAAGGGGAATCAAGAGTATCCGTCTTCTTGGTAAGCCACATCAGTGTCGCAATCTACAACTAAATTGGAGTATTAAGCCAATTTTTAGGTTATTGTTGAGTTAGTTATTTTAATATTGTTGAGTTAGTTATAATAACCGAAAATAACCAGATATAAAGTTAACCCTTTGCCCTGTAATATTGTGTCAGACTTTGAAAATGATCCACTAAATATGTACGTTATTCACAACTTTTAAATCGAAATCAAATTCTATTCATCTATCATTGATATTTAAACATTGAAGTTAAGGTTGTCATATAATAAATCTAAGTTTTTAGTGACAAACTAAATTTATTGAATTGAACTGAATTTATTAGTGACAAACAAATGCTTATTTTATCCTTATTTCGTGACTCTTATTAGAGGGTCTTTAGACCTATCGAGGTGGCGGATATTTTAAATTCTCCTTGCGCCTTTAATATTGTATTATACTTTGGTGAATAGATAATTTTCTTCCACCTGACTCGATTTGTGAGAAAAAAATACTTAGGAAACGCAGAGTATGTTGTTAGATGCAGTAGACTACGCCATAATTTTTCTCGCTAAATGTCGTTTCTCACAAATCGAGTCGGACAAAAAAGAGCTAAATATCCTCCAAAATACGGCACAATATTAGCGACTGGCATCTTGCCGGCAGTCTAAAGGTTAAAAAGCCAAGCGTAGGTGGCCTCCTTATCGCGTGTTTACCCCGCATGCAGTTGTCTAGGCCGTTTGACCTCGTTCGAGGCGGTTTGACACGAACATCCCCCAATCGGTGACCAATCAAAAATCGGAGCAATTAGCTCTCGCCCACGTATCATATTTCCTCACCGAAATCTTCGCAGCCGTCCACCCAAAATCCGAATCCCTAGTCAGCCGTCGATTCAGATGAAACACCGGTCGTTCCAACGAAAAACCGTCCGTGTCCGATGGAAGAGTAAGTCCAGCGTAAAAGTTAGGAAGTCGCGGGGCACTGGGAACTCGGAAGATCGAGGACTGGGCCGAGATGAAAGTAGGCGAAATAGAAGCAAGAAAAGGAGGCGGGGTGGTGAGCGGGGTGGGGTAAAAGACGAAACACCGTGGAGAAAGGCGGAGGTGTTCGGCGAACGTGGACGAAAGGGAGGAGAGCATAAAGGGTGGGGTGGAGGGCGAGCAGTCAGGAGGCAAGGATAGAGGCAGAGAGTGGCGTAAAAGCGTAGTCGTGTCGCACGTACGCTCGTCTGACGGCGACGTGCTCCGCATCACAACTCGCGAGTGGAACGCCGCGCCGCGCCGGCGAACCTAGCCAACCCTCCGAGTTCTCCACCCCCTCGGAGGCATCCCCTGCCAACCCTCTGGACCCCTCTCTCGAACCCTCTGGAACACCCTCGTCGCCTCCTCCTTCCCGTTTCTCCCTCTTCCTTTCTCCGTCGCCCTCGCACACACCCACGCTTCCGAGCCAGCTCTTCCTCGTTCAGTCATTTTCTCCGATTCTCCTCTCCCGCGGAGCCTTTCCTCATTTTCGCCTTTAGACTCCTACACCTCCGTCCTCTCCCCCGCTTGCACCCCTTGCCGGGCTCTTCCCTTCCTGCGCCTTCTTTTCCGCGCGGTATCTCTTCTTTTCGCTTTTTTCTTCTTTCCCTCTCGCTCTCTCTTTCTCTTTCTATCTGTCTGGCTCTTTCCCTTGCTTGCGAACCCTCCTGTTCGCTCCTTTTCGCCCTTTTTCTCTATTTCTCGCTCTTTTATTCGCTTTTTCATTTTCTTTATCTCGCTTTTCCTCGCTTTCTTTCCTCTTTTCGCTCTTTTCTCTGATCTTTCCCCTTTCCCTCTCTTCTTTGCTTTTTCTTTCTATTTTTCGCTATTTTTTGCTCTCTTCCTCTATATCCTCCTTTTTTGCGGTTTCATTCTCTTTCGCTTTTTTCTTCTCTTGCGTCCTGTCTCTTTTTCGCCGTTATCTTCGCTCTTCTTCTCTGTCTGTCGCTCTTTTCTTCGCCAACACTCACTCTTTTCCTCCCTGTCTTTTTTTCTTTCTCTCTTTCTCTTTCTCTATCTCGCTTTTTTCTTTGCTTCCTTTCTCTTTTTCGCTCTTTCTCTCACTCTCTCGGCCTTTTCTTCGCCAACGTCATCTCGCTCTTATCTTTCTTATTTTTCCCTTTCGCTCTTCTCTTTCTTATTTTTCCTTTTCGCTCTTCTCTTCGCTCCCGGTCTCCCTCCCTCCCTCTCACTCTCGTTCTTTTCTTCGCTTTCTTTCTCCTTTTCGCTCTTTTCCGCGCTCTATCTCTCTTTCTTCGCTCTATCTCTCTTTCTTCGCTCTTTCTCTCTTCGCTCTTTCTTTCTCTCTTCGCTCTTTCTTTCTCTCTTCGCTCTTTC